TGGAGACAGCGCCGGCGCCAGAGCAAGCCTCCCTCCCTTAGGGACTAGGAGGCGAGCTCCCAGGAGGGTGCGAAACAGACAGACAGATTTGATAAACTCGTGATTTTGTATTCTTAATCGTTATAGCTGGAGTTTCTAGGAAATGGACTAGCGTAGGGAGCAGTTTATAGACCCTGCCCAAGGGACTGAGAGCACGTAGTCGCAGCTGCGGGCGCAGTGCACTACAAATTCAGTGCAATAGGAGTTTGGTTCTAGGCTTCACTGCAGCTTATCCCCGGCTTTTTTGGCTGGAAGTTTAACGGCCTTTAAAGGTTGCTTAGTCCAATACAATAACGATTAATGCAAGACTAGAAAGACCACACAAAGAAGCCTACTTTCATAGCAGGTTGGAGACAGTCTTCACTGCAGCTTATCCCAGGTTTTGTGGCATGCAGTATTAGAGCGGTGGTGCCAATGCGCATGCGGACAGCCAGAGAATGGAACAGCAAACTTTCCCTACTGAGGATGAGGCTTTGTTGTTTTTAATTTATGTTTCCTTTCATTTAGTGACTAGATGCAGGTACGTATTTTCGTAATCGGTTATAGAACTTTATGTGAGAGCCAAACTGTAATGCACACCACCTGCAGTGCACAGGCACTACAATGGGGCTGGGTAGTGTCCTATAGACGATAGCTAGCTAGCGACCTACAAGGGGTCGCAACACTGGGGGAGGACAGGACCCTCCTTCTAGGATCAAAGTTAGGCAATTTGTCTGCCAGTTAATATGCATACGCTAGAGGTGCCTGAAAATGAGTGGAGACCGGGTTTAGTCCGCAGCGCCTAGAGTAGTGCACAGGCACTACAATGGGGCTGGGTAGTGTCCTAGAGACGATAGCTAGCTAGCGACCTACAAGGGGTCGCAACCCTGGAGGAGGACAGGACCCTCCTAATTGGATAAAAGCAAGAAAAGCTGTCTATGAATTAGAATGCATACGTGAAATGTGTGGAAATTGTGTGGAGACTGGGGCTGGCGATAGCGCTGGCACCAGTGCAGGCCTCCTCCCCATAGGGCCTAGGAGGCGAGCACCCCGAGTGGGGCGAATCGAACGGACAGATTTTGAAACACTTAAGAATTATTGTATTTCGATGAAATTAAGCTACAGTTTCCAGGAAATGGGCCTACGCTAGGCGTAGTTTGTAGGCTTGCTCGAGGGGCAGGAAGCAGTTTAGTCGCAGCAGTAGGCGCTGCGCACTACATTTGGGGGCTGTTCTGCGATTGAAATCTTTGTTCTTTCCGGACTTGGGAGTAGAAATACTATGTTTTAATAACTCATGCCTAGAAATCTTCGCTCGGTAAGGGGTGCATCTCCGCAACGGACGCGTTATCGGCCCGACACCGCAGGAGACTTCTGCAATGTCAGCCAACAAAATGCCGAGCGGGACATCAGCCCATCATCGCCACGCGACTCCAAAGCCCACCGCCGCAGAGCGGCCGCATGGGCATAAGGAGGCGCCCCCACAGGTGATAACTATGACCAGTGTTATGCCAGGGGACACTCCCTTCGTCACGTGGGACCAATTCCAGTCCTCAATGAGTGTGATAAGAACTGTTATAGGGGGGACCGTGGAATCCGGCGCAACGACTCTCATACTACCAGAAGACGGCAGCACTATACAGGCCTTTCTGCTGCGCATCGAGCGCCATTACACCCAGATGGGATTGGAACCGCACGAGTGGGGAAATGCACTTATAGACCTCCTTGTGGGCCCGGCTCAAGCGTATTGGATGTATCTACGGAGAACTATCGACCTAAGCAACTGGGCGACAGTACAGCGCAGGCTTTTGGAGCCGTTTGACAGAACAATGTCGCAGAGTCAATTGTTAACGGAGTTGGCTAAAGTACGGTGGAATGGTAACTTGAAGGGATACACGGACCGGTTTGCGGCTGTAGCGGAGCGTGGGTTGGGTTTTGCCCCCGACGAACTCGCGGACTATTAATGCACCGGGCTACCGACAGACCTCCATCTTCTAATAACCAATAACGGACAAGTGAAATATCAGTCGTGGGAACAAGCGGCGACCGCCGCAACACGGCTCTACGAGCCCAAGCAGAGTGTGCTGGAACTCCGAGAAAGGACCAGTCGAGCCATTAGGGCTGCCGTCCAAGCTAATGGACCTCGTGGGCGCCAGGAAATTGAAAATCGCCCTGGGGGAACCCACGCGAACTGCTTTGAGTGTCAGGGTCGTGACATCCGGCACGTGTCTACCCCAGCAAAGGGGACCGTACCAGACGTCCGCGGGAAATCTGCAAGAAGTGTGGCGGTGTGGGACACTATTCTCGGGACTGTCCTACGTATGATCGAGTCCGGCCCGAGTCGGTGGACAAGAGCAGTAGAGCAGCCACCCGCCCTAGCACTGAGAAGACGGAACGATTAAACGTGCGGGCCTAGGCGTGGTAGGAGACGAGCGTTGTAGGCCGCGTACCCATGGCAAAGAGATGATGTGTGAAGTAGTGACAGGCCCTAATGCCATTCCAGTCTCCCTTGAGTGGGGGAACCAACTCCTCCGCACTGCGGGAAGAGCTCATACGAGCGATGGGCACGCGGAAGGGACACAGCCGCTTTCGGAAACGCGGCGGGAGTCTGGGTCAGCGTCGATCCTCAATGAAGAGACTCCGGACGCGACGACGAATAGCAGTAGGAAGTCTGCAGAGGCAACAGAAGACGGCTATAGGTCAGACGCGACAGATATTGTGCCACACTGGTGGAGGGAGACTTGCACGAAAGAGTCTCACGACCAAGGGGGAGCGTTGTGTTGTGCGGGTGCGACGGCGGTACTTCGCGTTGAGCTCGCAGGGATTCCTTGTGAGGCTCTCTTGGACACTGGGGCTTCGAGAAGTTTGATTGGTCCTAAAACAGTCGAACGACTGCAGCTGAAAGTGCGGAGACTTCCAAAAGAACATAGGTCCACCATAGCTACAGGTGCACAACTACGCATTGATTGGGTTGTGACGGGATTGACGCTGTGGTGCGGACATACACGTTTTTCCGGGGACGTTTTAGTGGGAACCGTTCCCTATGACTTAGTCTTGGGTTTGGATTGGCTGACGGAACACAAGGTGGCCGGGTATTTCCAGTCTGACAAACTCCGAACCTATGCGAATGGCCAGTGGTGCGAGTTACCGGTCGTTCGGACTGGTGAAGCGACGCTGCGACGTGATAGTCCCACCGTAGTCCACCCAAGGACCCCAGCAGAACAAGCATATGAGATATTGGCCAAACAAGTGGCGGGTATGTCAGCTGAGGAGGCAGCTATATTCCTACACACGCCTCGAAGTAGGTATAAGTCCCACGCGAAGACTAAGGCGAAGGCGCGGATAACGTCGCTCGTTCGTCAGGCGGCGGCTGACACAAAGGATCTCAGGACTCCATTGCACGGTTTGCATCTCATACTGGCTTTGCCAGAAGCCGGTTCGGCCTCAACCGCCTCGGTGGCAGCGGAGAGTGACGAGGAGTCTCCCTGGCCTATGGCAAAACTCGAGCACACTCTGTTCGACGAATAAATAACTTCGCCAGAGGCGCAGGATATTCCATGTGAGGTCGCCCAGGTGTTGCACGAGTATCGAGCGGTTTTTCCCGATACCTTACCTAAAGGATTACCGCCGAAGCGTCTTCATGATCACCATATTATCCTTGTGCCTGGAAAACTTCCAGCGAGATCTGCAATATACCGTATGACCCCAGGTCAGCTTACACTCCACAAACAGGAGATACCTAAATTATCGGACAATGGTTGGATCGGACCGACCTACTCGCCTATTTGCTCTCCTACGATCATGGTGGACAAACGTGATGATGGCTCCGGGGAGCGGAAGATGCGTATGGTTGTCAATTACCAGGCTCTAAATCCCCTTACGATAGCCCCTGATTTTCCACTACCTCCCATTCAAACCGTTTTGGAGCTGCTGGGAGGCGCCAAGTATTTTTCCACCTTGGATCTTGAAACAGGATTCCATCAAATACGTATGGCTAAGGAGGACCGGTGGAAGACGGCTTTCCGGTCCGTTCTCGGATTATTCGAGTACCGCATGATGCCCTTCGGCCTTAAGGGTGCTCCCGCTACGTTCCAGGCCAATATTATTGCCTATCTACAACCTTTATTGGGACAGGGCGTTATTGCGTACCTAGATGATGTACTTATCTATAGTTCCGATATCTCTGGGCACGTTTCTCTCCTGCGACAAGTCCTCAGCGTTTTTCTTAGACACCAGTTCTACCCAAAATTCCGCAAATGCAAGTTTGCAAGGCAAACAATCACATATTTGGGTTATACTATCACTGCTGAAGGCATCAAACCTGCAGAAGATAAAATCGCAGCCGTCCGGCATTGGCCAGAGGTGCTGGAGAACAAAACGCAAGTGCGCCAGTTCCTCGGTACCATAAATTACTGTCGCATGTTCATGGGACCGGACTATGCAGACGTTGCCCAGCCGCTGGTTGATCTTACGCGTAAGGACGTCAGTTTCGAATGGACAGAGCTTCACACGCAAGCGGTGCGGCAGCTCAAACAGCGCTTAATCGACGTCACTACATTACAAGTCCCTGACACGACGAAACCCTTCGAGTTATACACAGATGCCTCTGGCTATGCGATCGGAGCAGTTCTCGAACAAGACGGCAAACCCATCGGCTTCCTCAGCCAAGTCATGAACCCCACGCAAGAGAGATACTCGACCTACAGTCAGGAACTCTTGGCGTTGGTCATGGCACTGGACAAGTGGTCGCAGTTGCTCCGTATTTCCAAGGTAACGGCTTACACTGATCATCAAGCTCTCACTGATCTCCAACGAGTCTAAGCATCGAAGCCTCTGCGCGGACGCACCGCCCGGTGGCTAGACGTTCTTGCGGAGTTCCCGGATTTGCACATCACGTATGTGCAAGGCGCGCGCAATCAAGTTGCCGACGCCTTGTCTCGCCGTCCCGGCCTTCCTAACACCTGCTCGCACGACACACCATCGGTACCGCTGATGCTCGCACTAGGACAAGCGAGCGCGGCTCCCCGCTCTCGTGGTCGGCCTCCCAACTACAGGGAGCTCGCCAGAATTCGTTCGCGACGACCTAGACGACGCAGCATGCCGTCCGCACCTTCACCTGCGCCGGCGGAACCCAACCCAGAGCCGGAACCTCCTACACTCACAACGAAGCCACCAGCTTACCCTCCTGATGTGCGGCATTGGCCGCAGGCTTACTCGAAGTGTCCTGTTTTTCGCGTTCCCTACACAGCCGCAGCAAACGAACCAGGAGAAGCTCTGCAAACCGAGTTTTGTAATTGCCAATTTACCTTTCGCTACGTAGTGTAGTGCGCAGCGCCTACTGCTGCGACTAAGCTGCTTCCTGCCCCTCGAGCAGGCCTACAAACTACGCCTAGCGTAGGCCCATTTCCTGGAAACTGTAGCTTAATTTCATCGAAATACAATAATTCTTAAGTGTTTCAAAATCTGTCCGTTCGATTCGCCCCACTCGGGGTGCTCGCCTCCTAGGCCCTATGGGGAGGAGGCCTGCACTGGTGCCAGCGCTATCGCCAGCCCCAGTCTCCACACAGTTTCCACACATTTCACGTATGCATTCTAATTCATAGACAGCTGTTCTTACTTTTATCCAATTAGGAGGGTCCTGTCCTCCAGGGTTGCGACCCCTTGTAGGTCGCTAGCTAGCTATCGTCTCTAGGACACTACCCAGCCCCATTGTAGTGCCTGTGCACTACAGCTTCCCCCCTTGCTGGGCTGAAGAGACCTACCCCAAAACGCATTATTTTTGCCTTTTCAAGCTCTGTGCTCTTCTAAAGCTGACGTCGTGAGCGCACGCGGTGCGCAGCGCTCCCTCCCCCCTCCTCATTGAAGGGTGCCCGTGCTGCAGGCGGTGGAATGTGACGGACCCATACCTCTACGCCTCGGAAGGACCAACGTTGTTTCGAGCCTGCAGACGTCGTCGTTGGCGGCGGCGCCAAGCGCGAAGGAAAGCCGGGCAGCCTGTAAGGTGGTGAGCTGGCTCCCGTGTGGCTTGATCTTCAGGGGTCCCGCGCCACTTCACGAGGTACTAAGCTGCATCTTCCGAGCTGCATTGGTCCATAATATAGTTGACTTCGTATTTCTCTCTGGGATTGCCTGCTGCATCGTGGATAGTAGTCCAGGCGGCGTCGGCTGCCGGGGGGACCAAATTGGGGGTGCCGGGGACGGTGGGGAACTAGCTGCGAAACGTGGAAAACGTTATGGCATTCATGGGTGGGAGGCAGAGCGAGACGGTAAGCCACAGTTCCTATGCGCTCGATGATTTCAAAGGGTCCGCGGTAACGGGGCTCGAACTTAGGGCAGCTGTTGAAAGGCGGTAGGTGCTTGCTGCTGAGCCAGACCTTGTCTCCCACCGCATACTCCACTGCTCAGCGCTTTGTGTCTGCGTAGTACTTCTGCTGCCATTTCGTCTTCAGGATGTGACTCTGTGCTCTGTCGCAGAGCCGCCGGAAAGGCTTAGTCATCGGAGGAGTGAGCGTAGGAGCTAACGCGCCTACGATATCAAGATCCGCAGCAGTCAACGGGTTCTCACCAATCATGACCTCGAAAGGAGAGAGCTCAGTGGATGAATGACTTGTTGTGTTGTAGGCAAGTTCCAGGGCCGGAAGCAAACGCTCCCACTCGCGTTCGTCAGGTTTGATATAGGTACGAAGCATCTGCTCCAGTGTGCGGTTAACCCGTTCAGTTTGGCCGCCGCTTTGGGGACGGTAGGACGAGGACATGCACCGTTTGATGTTAAAGCGGCGACAGAGTTTGTTTCAAAGATCCGCCTGGAAGCGGGCGTCGCTGTTCGATATGAGCACCTCTGGAAAACCGTGATAGCGGATAAGACGGTCTGCGAGAAGCTCCACGGTGTCTGCTGCTGTGAATGATTTCTTTGCAGGAACGAAATGAGCCATCTTGCTGAGGGAGTCGACCATGACAAGGATCGAGTCGTGCCCTGTCGTTGTAAGGGGAAGATCTGTGATAAAGTCGAGACTCACGTGCGCCCATCGACGAGAAGGGATGAGCAACTGTTGAAAAAGGCCTGGAGGCTTCTGGTTAAGAGACTTTGAGGCTCGACAGTGAGTGCATGACTCAACATAAGCAGTAGTGTAGGCGAGCATTCCTGGCCAGTAGTAGTGCTTGCTGAGAGCCGCAAAGGTCTTCTTCTGGCCTAGATGGCCGGCTGTGACATGGTCGTGATGTGAATGCAGAACGTGAGTAAGGAACTCAGGGAATTGTGGGACGCAGATGCGCCACAGTCCATGAACGCGGATGTGCAGGTAATGCTCTACGTAGCGAATGGTGAATTGGCGATTACGAAACTCGATTTGCAGAGCTTCTACTGGTTGGTCTGCTGCGGCTTTGTAAGGAACGCGAAAAACAGGACACTTCGAGTAGGCTTGCGGCCATTGGCGCACATCAGGAGGGTCAGCTGGTGTCTTCGTAGTGAGTGTAGGATGTTCCGGCTCTGGGTTGGGTTCCGCCGGCGCAGGTGAAGGTGCGACGGCATGCTGCGTCGTCTAGGTCGTCGCGAACGAATTCTGGCGAGCTCCCTGTAGTTGGGAGGCCGACCACGAGAGCGGGGAGCCGCGCTCGCTTGTCCTAGTGCGAGCATCAGCGGTACCGATGGTGTGTCGTGCGAGAAAAAAGAAAAGACAAATTAGTGTTTGCATGATACGACGAGCATCTAAGTTGGCAATTCGCCTCTTCTCCAATCTGAGGCGACACAACCAAACAGACTATACTTAAGCTTGACATGGGGCCACGGTGAATTCTTGTCACCTTCTGCGTAGTTGGAGACGAGTGTGGCCTCGAATCGGGAAGTTCAAAGCGTTCTCTATTTATACGTCTAAAACAATCCCTTGTCTAAAGAGCTCCTGGAATCTCCAACGCTCGGCGAAGTGCTTGTTTTCTTTTCTTCGTTATTGCTCTTTACGGGTATGCCACAAAGCCGTCATTCACGTAGGCTTCCAGCTCGTCAGATTAAAGCTGCCTCTTTATCTTGCGTTGATTGAGCCGATATGGTCCTAAAATGGAACTTTCCAGTTACCCTTTCAATCAATAGCTTTCGCCACAGTCGCTTTCAGGCGGGCTAACTCCTAGGTTTGCTCCACCTCTTACTTTGCCTCCGCTCTCCAGTTCACGGCTTACCACACTCTGTAGTAGTGTTTCTGACATGTAATTGAATTTTCGGCTGGCAACGGAAGAGGCCGTTATGCATTTTTGGCTAGAGGGCGTTATCTCTTTCTTCGTGTCCGAAGAGTACTAGAAATGCCTTTCCTTACTGCTTCTTGCAGTAAGGGAAGGCACTTCTGGCTTTTGGCCCTGTCACAACAGCTTAAAGCCGCTGCTTAGCACTTCTACTACAATCAGTACTTTTTCCTAAGCAGTGCCTAGTCTCCAGTGTTCAATGTTGAGTTGCACTCTTCCCACGGACAGGCGCAGAAGGTCCCTTGTTACCATGAGGCGCCGTCCAGATTCAGCACGACGTAGTGCATTCTCTAGCATAATGTGCCATTCTACTGTGACTCCGTCATATTTCCCTAAGTTTTCAGGTTCGCTCTCGCTGTTAAGCGCCGTGTTTTTCTGGTGCCAAACGACGCCGGACTCTGTACTTACAACAGGCTAATTGCTAGCCTCTATCACCACGGCCCTTTATGTTGTTCCACTTCCATAGTAGCTTCTGATAGCTTTCTAAGCGGCCTCAACTGCGATGATATCCTTTTCTCGTCACCTTTTAATTGACCTTCTGCCGTTGCGTGCCAGGGCCCCTGTTGCTTCCTCTCAAAGTGATTCCTTTAACACCTCTCCCTTCATAAGTGACATACCTTACTCCCTGTACAGTTTTGCACTGCAAAAGCATGCGCTGTGTAGCCCAAGCACACTCGGCCTCTATCGCTCTCAGTATATCCTCATATCGGTGGGAGAAACCTCCACAAGAGCTCAGAGAGTCATTTTGATGCTCCCATTCTAGCTTTTCAAAAAACCTGAAGCTCCACAGCTGATTTCTCTACACACTTCCACTTCATTCCCCTCAGGAGCTTCACATTAGCGGCTAATTGCTGAATGTACTTCATACAGCTAGCTGTTTTGTGTTCATTCTTCGCCACCTCTGATGAAATTTTCACCACTATGCAGTGGGCAGCACCTTAACATTGGGTTACTGTTGTCTTGCCAAGTGGACAGCAGAGCTTTCTCCGAGTGGTCGCCTTGAGGAGATCCAGGCGAGGTCATCCCCAACATTCTAATAGCCCGTAGGTTAGGAAAGCACGTATACGTCTTCGAAAATTGGGGCTCCCTCGCTGTCCCGAGAAGGGCTTAGTTAAAGCCGCTATGTGTAGCTGTAATGGGTGGTGTGCAGCAACTCACAACATATAAGCATATTTCTCATTGGCAGCTCACCAAAGGCAATCTAGCCAATCTAGCACTTAGGTCAATCATTATTGTCAGGCAACCTAGCACCATCCCTGGCCACCTGCGCTAGCGTGCGCGCAGTATAAAAACGCCTGCATTTTTTAAGGAAATCAAAACTGAGTTGGTCTGGGATTTGTCAGCAACGCGTAATCTCAAGGCACGCACAGATTCCTGCCGGACACAGGCATGGTGGAAGCCCAATCCTGCTGCGGAGCACAAAGGATTTTGCTATCCTCAGACCTTGGTAGCTTTACACGTAGCCTGCTAAATCTCTGCTTTGAGTGCTTTAGTGTCAACTCAAACGACATTTCGGGCTCATTTTCATGCAGTATTGTAGCTCGCAACACGAAACACCGTGTTTCCTACTTTAACTGGCTACTCTATATTCTAGAGAGAGATAATCGCAGAAATTCACGCAGGTAAGGTTTCAATTAGCAACGAAGTTTGCTTAATTAAAAAATTTGTGTTCGTGTTGCCATCTGATTTTTCTTACGCCTCTATTGCTTTTATTTTCCTTTTCTGCCGTGCTTTTGCAGCGTCCGCCGCCGCCGTATCTTTAGTGTTTGCTGCATCAGCGGTAACTGCATTGTAGGCTTACTGTCTGTTGCGAGGTACTTCTTGGTGCAAATGCTGTTTTTTGCCACTTAGCGACTGTCGCAGTTTTTGCTTCCCCCAAATGGTGGCAGTTAATTGTATCTGCAGATTGCGTCACTCTAGCTAGCGCCGGGGTTCACGAAGTATCATTGTTAGTCCACTGTAAGCGAGCATTTCGTTCCAAGACCATCATCAGTGCAGGCATTCTAAATTTATTTTATAGTTACAGTTCCTTATTGCGCACTTATCAAACGCTGTTTTTGCTCACTTGCCTGCCTCTTCGACTCCCCCTAGCTTGATCCAGGTCCACTTTCTATTTAGGACAAGTTGTTTTCAAATTACTAGCGCGATGTCTGTGCACATCAAGTTCATAAGGGCTTCTATCGTCAAATTCCAATGTTTTGAATGTCTGTGGACTACTTTTTGGCGTGGTACGACTGCGTGGCAGCAGCATACATCTAGTAGCCAACCTGAATATAGCCCCTGTAGAAGTGCCTTGCTGTCTACACGGCCAAACATTGAAGGTTTAGCATCAGGAACATGTAATAAATATTTAAGTTACCAATGCAGTAAAAAACATTGTCGGGTGCTTCCTCCGAGACGAGCATCAGTGACGCAGCCGACACCAAATTTAAGCCTACCTGCTGAGAAACTTAGGCCTTGTCTGGAAGGGTGGCCAAGCTTCTTCGACTAATACATCCTTATTTAAGCTTCAGCTGTATAGCTCGAAATGTGACAGCCATCAGAAGGCATTCGTGTGTCAAACTGAGGTGCCACGTGCCACAGCTGCCCCCTCGACTAGATGAATCCGTACGTCTCTTCTGAAGCGCTTTTCCCGTTCTCTCTTGTCTTCTTACCGTCTCTACGAATCCTTTTTCCGTACTTTTCTTTCAAGCTGGCCCGTATCACTGCCACTTGGAAAGTTGCGGCCGTCCGCAGCGTCTCATGCTGTGTGTCCGCTGTTTTGTGTCAGCTTCCGCATGTCCGCTGTTGTTGGTCCGTTGCTCTTATTTGCTTATGCAATGCGTTTGCAACTAAGCGCCTCATTGTAGCGGCTGCCAGGAGGTCATAGCTACCTAGTATGTCTCCGTTGCAACCACCAAAGGCCTCTGTGTATGTCTAGTCCATCCTCATGAGTGCACATC